AAATTTTTCTCTAACTATACCTAGAAAAACCACTGAAAGCTAAATCCCTCCATAGTCAATCTCTTGATTTTCATTTTCTAACAGCTCTCTCTATATTAACTATTGAAAAATAATATTGAATACGGATATAAACTCAGATTGTGCCCAAAAATGCACAAGCATTTTGTAGAAAAGAAACAGCAGGCAATATTATTTTTCAATAGTTAATATAGAGAGAGCTGTTAGAAAATGAAAATCAAGAGATTGACTATGGAGGGATTTAGCTTTCAGTGGTTTTCCTAGGTATAGTTAAGAGAAAGATTTAAAATAGGTAACAGGACATTTGAACAGCATAAAACAATTTGAATTACGTACAAATGATGACCACATAGTTGCCAAACTGTATAAACGTTTGTCAAAATTTGAAATGAAAGAATAACAAGTGAAAGCACTTGTAAAAAGGACTAAAAACTTTGGACATAATATATTAATGGAATGATGGAAAAGATGTGGCTAAAAGGGCTGAAATTTATATTATGTTTAACCTAAAATGCACGACTGCAGAAAAATTATCTAGAACTTAGAAAAGTACATCAAACCTATATTGGAAATTTGGAAAATATGAAGGCTTATCTGGGTTCAAATACAGTAATACAAAGGTTTTTAAAGATTAATATTCAGTTAAAACTATAACTTTTCTTGCTTGGAATAATCAATACAGAATTAGAAAATAGAATATTATTTTTATATATGGTAACTGCTATGAGATTATTATATGAAAAAAATGGAAAGACTCTGAAATACTCCAAATGGAGAATGACTAGTGAAGATGACAGAATTAGCAAAGATGGTAAAATTGACTTGTCTGATTATAGAAAGGATAATAATCTTTATAATGTTTTCTGTCTTTCCTTTCTTTGTTTCTTTGCATTTTTTGTTACTTTACTTTTTCTCTTTCAAATTTTGCATTGCTTGTATTCTCTTAAAATTCTTTAATAAAAATATATAAATGTACATAGCTATGGATATGTGTCTCTGTGTGGGGGAGTTATGTTAGTTCTTTCATGGAGAAAAACTCTGGTTTAGTAAGCCTACTCATCAAGCTTCAAAAGGAATGGAGAAAACATGTTTCTATGATGGATGTTTGTACCCACATAATTTTATGATTGCACATAAATTACTGTATTTTTCACCCTATAAGATGCACTCCCCCCCCAAAAAAAATGGATGGAAATGTCTGTGTATCTTATAGAGCAAATATTGTGGCAAGGGGGGAGGGGCGTTGGTGCGGTGGCAGCATTAACTGCCACTGGCTGTCACTGATGCTGCCGTTTGCTGTCGCCGGGGAATGCTGGAGCCTTTGCTGCAAAGCAGCTGGTGGCGGTTGGATCAGCCTCCCAGAATACCGATCCAACTGCCAATCAGCTGCTCGGCAGCAAAGGCTCCAATGTTGCCTGGCAGCGGCAGCAGCTCAGCTCGGTTGACGGTGGTGGGCACAATGGAGCGGAGCCCTGACAAGCCACATGCTGCGTCTGTGATAACGTGCTGAAGCTGACCAGGCAGTTTGCTGCAAGGATGCCAGCCAAATAAATACCTAATGAATGCTGGGAGGTAGAGGCAGAATTTTTCTTGTTTTCCTCCTCTAAAGCTAATGTGCATTTTATATGGTCTGGTGTATCTTAATAGTGTGAAAAATGTGGTATGTATTAATCCCTTCCTCCCTTAATGTTACACAGGTAGTCCTTGACTTATGACCACAATTGAGCTCAACATTTCTGTTGTTAAATGAGATATTTGTTAAGTGAGTTTTACTCAATTTTATAAACTTTCTTGCCACAATTGTTAAGTGAATTACTGCAGTTAATAACTTAGTAACCCAATTACTAAGTGAATCTGGCTTCCCCACTGACTTGCTTGTCAGGTCACAAAAGGAGATCACGTGGCCTTGGGATACAGATGTTTAGCAACTGGTTCATGTTTACGGCCTCAACTGTCATAAATATGAACCAGTTGCCAAGCATCTGAATTCTGATAACATGATCATGGGGATACTGCAAAGGACATAACTGAAAAACAACCATAAGTCACATTTTTCAGTGCTGTCGTATCTTTGAATGGACACTAAACAAACTGTTGTAAGCAGAGGACTACCTGTGCTGAAATTTTATACATTCATTTTTTTTCAAATATTATCTTACCATGCACAATATTTGCTTTTGTGTCCATTCTGCATACTTTATTGGCTTCCAGGAAGTCAGAGACGCGAATATAAGGGTGGGACGCAGTTATATTATTTGAAGCAAGCATCTGCAAATAGAGAATATTTTTCATTCCAAAATAAAATATCTAATTTCTCACAAAAATTAATAATAAACAGATTATTACTGCAGGAAAAAGGTGCAATAATTTTTGTTGCTCTGAATAAATACACTGTACATTGCCCAAGACAGGACAAATCGCAAGATGAAAGTATGCTGCAAAAATAAAAATTCAAATTGGCTAACTTAGAGAACCTGATCAGGGATCAATAGTAAGTATCTGCTTGGCATAAAGCTGAGTCATGTGAAAATCTTGTGATGCAGATTAGATATTTTACTGAGGCTTATTTGTACTTGTCTTTTTTGGTTGGAATTGAAAGTAGCAGCATGGTTCCATCACACCATCTCTTTATAGAGGTTGGGTGGCAAATAGCAGTCAACATGGGACTACCACTACAGGCAAATAAATGAGCAAATTCCCATGGTTTTCTACATCAGACAACTTAAGTAGATTTTTGTTTTGTTGTAGGAAGCCCTACTCAGAATGGTCCAAAGTCATCTTCTGAGTGGTGTCTCTTTGTTCAGAGCATGTTAAATCCGTTTTTCAATTCTGCACCTAAATTGTAGTCCTAACTAAATGACATTTTAAAAATCCACAATTTTATCCTGGCAATAGATTCATCACAAAAACGTTTATGCTCAGACTCACACAGGGTGTTAATTGGAATACATTCCATTGTTCTTAACATTCTATTGCATTAATTTAAATTATTTTTCCTTCCTTGAAAATTACTTCTAGGTTTCTGTTTTATCTGCTAAAGTTTATAAACATTTTAAGGATAAATATCTAAACCATTTATCATGTATTGATTATAAACTTTAGCATAAAGTCAGATTTTTTTCTCTTAGGAATAATACTTTTTTCCATTTAACAGAATTGCTAGTTTATTTCTTGATTAGATATAATAAATTAAAATACTAACATCTTACCAGCAACATGAATAGACACCGCAGGTCTTTATTATAATAAAATTGATTTTGTAGAACATCTTGAACTTTTATGTCTTCTAGAAGAGACTAAAATTAATTTTAAAATAACTGATTACTGTAACATCTTTGTACAAAGTAAAGATGAAGAGTTGCTTAATTTACATGTAAATTATGTATCAAAACATTTAAGATTACATATTTATCAATAACACAAATACGCCTTACTAGAGAGAATGGCATACAGTAGTCTTTCCTTAATGATCATTTATTCTACAACCATTTGAATTTACAATTGTGTTGAATGTGATAGTTACAATCTATATCCCCATGACTGTGAACTTGCAATTACGATGTTGCAGCATCCCACAGTCACATGGTCACCATTTGCGACCTCATTTGGCTTCCTATAAGCAAAGTCTATGAGGAAGCCATCAGGAAATTGGCAATCATGTGATGTCTTCATTTAACAACCTATTGTGAATTTGACAGCAGCAATGGGAAGTACCAGAATTTTTGCAAAAATAAGTGGCAGAGTCACATGTGTACATGATTTACAACTATATCACTTCGCAATAAAAATTGCAGTTTCAGTTACCATTGTCATCTGAGGACTTTCTGTAACAATTTTAGAAAATCTAAACCAATTTCAAACCTCCTTTTAAATCTATCAGTTATAAATTATTAAAACACAGCTACATTTTGGATTAAGGTAATTGAATGCGCAAGTTATTCTCCACAGAGGGGATAGGAAAGGGAGAAATTTAGGCAGAACTTTTTATAATACTTTGCTCTATAACAGGGGTGTCAAACTCAAGGCCCTGGGGCCAAATTTGGCCTGCAGGGTGCTTAGATCCGGCCTGCGAACTCACCCTGGAAACGGCAAAGAACCAGCACATGGTGCCTCTGCCAGCGAAAAGGAACTCCTACCCTGGTGACGCGTTCCCCCACCCCGAGGTCAAACACAAGCATGACGCAGCCCTCAATGGAATCAAGTTTGACACCCTTGCTGTATAGCAATAGTGCTGCTTTATCTTTTTATTTAGCTGTAAAGGGTTTTGTTTTACAAATGTCTTAATGATCACCATGAGCATTTAACTTTGTTCATTTATTTCTCATTTACTTATTATGTAATCCTGACAGGCTCTGAGTGCTGAAGAATGACCCAAGACCAAACACACATTTAAATACAATGGTTCTAGGGTTTTTTTTTATGGGCACTGTGAGGAGGTAGAGAAAGAAAGGGATTCCAGAACATTTCAGACATCGACAACAATCAACAGTGGTTTTTGATAGCTTAGACTTATGCAGAACGCCCAGATAGAAAGATGCAAAACTTTTAATGAAACTCCCTACTTTATGTATTCTGCTTTGAGAGAAACACTTGCTATATTTATGTCTGAAATTTCAGCAATGCTTACAAAATGGTTCCTTTGCTCCAGCATCAGGGGAAAACTTTGAAGGGCCTGTGGAATATCCCTCAAAGACACGGTAAAGTTTTAGTTTTCTCTGTAGCAATTATTTCAGTCCAAGAAACTTGAATTAAATGTTTAATTATGAATGTTTATCTCATAAGTAGTAAGCAGCTATTTTGAAGACTTCTCTGATTAGAGTTATCATTACTACTCCTTATTTTCACTTATAAAATATGTTGCAGTTTTGGGGGAAAGATGTCACTGAATCGAAGCAGGAGAAAAGATATCTGCTCAATTCTTCTACAAATTCATACTTATTTAAGCAAAATAAATGGCCATTAGGCACACAATAGGTTCTATTCTGTATTGGAAAAAAGCACACTAGTTTTATTTTAAAAAACCTGAAATTCGTGAACAATTTGAAGGCATGGGATTGCCATAATTTATATAATTTAAAACAAAGATATGCTTCCTGACATGCTGAGTCTCTTGTATTAATGTCTGCAAAACTAAGATTTCATTGTATAACAAAGGCGTGTAAGAACGAAGTCATATAAATCATGTTTTAATAGTTTTAGGAATACATGAGGGAGTTACTAGCAGGAAATTAAATTAAATTTTAAGGCAATTGTTTAACCGTTTAACAATTGCTAAATAAAGTACTTAGAATTGAATCCATCATGTTAGCTGGGTTTAAAAGTTGCCTCTCAGGGTATATACTAACTATTCTAAGACTTGGTATTTTGTGTCCTATTTCGAAACTCAAAACTTTTAAGCAGGTTCTGTAGATAAACATCTCACTTAAAATGTATCTTGTTTAGAGAACTTTAGGAACAAGATTGAAAGGGAGCTGAATAAGCTTACAATGACTCACTGCCTGAATGACTCATTCAATTGCTTCAATTCCACATACCACAGAAGCTCTCAGAAGTTTAGCTGAAGAAGTAAGTAGTAATGAAACATTCATGATTATGGCTCATGGTGGCTAGTTAAATTTACAGATTGTGAACATTTCCTGTGAAATTAATAAAGCAGCGGTGTTCTTTTCCAGGTTCAAGGAGCTGCTTTATACTTTATACCACTGATGACTACACATTGCATGTGGATGCATAGCTGCTTCACAAAACAAAGAAATGAAATGCAAAGCACCTCTATATAGCCTGGTTAGGCATGAAAGCCATCTGGATGACTTTGGCCTAGTCAGTCTCTCTCAGCTCAACCCACCTCACAGGGTGCTGTTGTAGGGAAAAGAGGAGGAAGGAGCATTGTGTACTTTTGCCACCTTGAGTTACTTATGAAGTAATAAAGGTGGGAAGTAAAAAAAAGTGTGTATGTATAAAAAGCCAAAGGAGCAAAATATCAAGCACAATGATTTGCACATTCACTTTCTCCTCCCTTTAATACTAACTGTGCCAACAAAATGATCTTGCAGGCCACAGCAACAATGGGCAAATCGGCCTTCCTTCCTTGTTGTTTCTTTTGATCCTCAGAAATCTACAGGATTCCAAAAAATGGACAAAATAGCCCAAATGCTTCCCAGGCGAACTGTTCTTGGATCCAGGTTCGCCTTGCTAATTTTCCAATCATACATAAAACCAATATACTCATTAACACTAATACACACACATTCTTGGAAACTGTCAATGTTATTTCTGTTCTCCTGAGTTTATCTGGAGAACCTTCAGCAAGGAATTCAGTTGCTTCTTATGCCTAAATTACCTGTATGTGTCTATTCCACTTCTGGATAAAGGACTTTTCTGGAAATTCTGGAGGAAGGGATAACTGTTCTTTACAAATATTCAAATATGTTTTAAAATCAAAGGAATTCATTAAGTATATTTGCCGGTGGGAAAATCTTGACTTCACTCTTTTCTCCATGAGTTCTAGAATATCCTAGTAAAAAATTACAAATATAGTTTGCAATTAGCATTTAGTCCAAGGATATTGGACATTTAGTGATAAATATCTAATGCTATTATTCTGCAGAGCTCATAAATTTCAAGAGTAGCTCTGAACAAAACTCAGATGTTTATGAATGAAGCTTCTAGTTCATCTATAAATTCAGGTAGATACAGTGGGGCAAAAAAGTATTTAGTCAGCCACCAATTGTGCAAGTTCTCCCACTTAAAAAGATGAGAGAGGCCTGTAATTGACATCATAGGTAGACATCAACTATGAGAGACAAAATGAGAAAACAAATCAAGACAATCACATTGTCTGATTTGGAAAGAATTTNGTCTAGGAGTTTTTTCAATATTTTATTTGTTTTCAGCACACCAAAATACATGGAAATTAGATGAAAATAATCAAACAGCTTTTTAGTTGCAGACCTGTGTAACAAGCCTAATCCAGATGTGACAAAAGGGTCCATAACAGACAAAACCTGCCTAACTAGTTACCTATGACTATGTTTCCTTTACCAGTCTCTACTTACAACCATTTGTTTAGCAACTGTTCAAAGTTATGACAATGCTAAAAAAAATTACTTATGACTCACCAAAAAGTTAATAAAAGTTGAAATTCTAAAAAGGGTAAGAGATGATGGTTAGATATAGAATATTTTTTAACATGGTGGTTATTTTGTTAAGTGTTAGAAGAAAGTAGAAATTGGGAAAATAGTATTATGTATTCTGAAATATAATAGAACATATTATAATTACTATGTATACACAAATGTTAGAAGTTGAAAGATTAAGATAATGATTATATATATTTAAATGGTACTATCGTTATTAGAATTTTGAGTAAAGTATATTGACCCAGACAATACACTGTTCACTAAGCACTTTTGGATGTTAAAGAAAAAAATATAAATTATAAAAAAGATGATTCATGACTACTGGTCATTAAATTTATGGCTGTTGCAGCAAACAGGAAATTGGATTCATTTAACAACCATGGCAATAGGGTTGTAAAATCAGGCAGGGTCATGTGATGACTGTCAGGCACAAATAACTAGGAACAGGAGTTTAGTTCAAAGCACTAAAGGTTTATACCTGCAACCTAAAGACAAAAATTGGATCTACTAAATTCAAATCAAGTTTTTAAAAACATATATTAGAAACAAATCTGGGATGCCCCAGTCTGCTTACATTTATTGATTGGTGTTTATCAATTAGGGTTTAACTTTTGTTTGTACATTTTGCATTTCAGATTTAATTGTATTATTTTGTTTTAAAATGAGGACAGTTTTGAGGCTTTGCTTCAAATGGCAGTAAAAACCAATGGAAATGATTGGAACTACACAGTTCATATATGTATTATTAGATGAATCAGGCAGTGCCTCAGTATATTTTGAATGTTGTTTTATTGCAACAATTTATTAAACTAATTGCCCATCCTACAAAAATTTCACACCAACAGCCTTTTTAAATCTGAAAACAGATCTTTTAATGTGAATAATCCATAAAACCAAATTATACTTTTCAGTCTCGTTAGGTAGATAACCATATAATCTGGTAATTTACAAACAAGATTGCCTTTAATATCTAACTTTACAATGCATTAATTCAATGAAGAGTTGATAGGAATTATGTCTCTATTATTAAAAGATTTCTTCTTATGGTCCTAGCTCCCAAGTCTGCAATATTATCACATTTTATAGAGAACAGAAATGTCTTATCTAGGTTGCTCCTGCTTACAATGCCACTTTGTCAGGGACTACAATATTCAAATATGTGCAATATACCAAAATTAGATTTTTATTGGAATTGTATTTTAAAAATAAGAAAGTAGTGCCTGTGTCTTGAGTAACTACTACTATGTTCACAAAATGATGTTGAGTTTGTTCAACTCTCTGAAAAAAAAAAACCTTACTTCCCTACCGAACTATAACAGAACACATGAGTTTTTAGATACTTTAATGTCAATTTTATTCACCTAAGAATCACTGGTTTTGAAGACTGGTTAACTTCAATGCAACTCAAACTTATTAAATATATATAATCAATGAACTGAGGTTGTAGCCCATTGTTTGACATCCGTTGGACAGTTTGGATACACCTGCAAAGCTTCCATAACTTGGCTGTCGTCCAGGAGCAGTTTCATTAGCAAATATTCTTTTTGTACAGAATTAGATGGGCCTTCTACGGGTTTTATTAATTCAAGATGCTGCAAGCGTTCAAAGGCCTAAAAATGAAGTAATACAAGCAAATCATGTGTAGATTCAGCCTAAACTATATTCTGTAGATTAAAAGATAACTCATCAGAAAAGTATGAGGAAAATTAAAATCACAAGCCATCTAAGCTCTAATTGGATATCAAGAATAAAGGTAAAGGTTCCCCTTGCACATATGTGCTAGTCGTTCCTGACTTTAGAGGGTGGTGCTCATCTCCGTTTCAAAGCCAAAGAGCCAGCGCAGTTCGAATATATCTCTGTGGCCATGTGGCCGGCATGACTAAACACCAAAGGCGCACAGAACGCTGTTACCTTCCCACCAAAGGTGGTTCCTATTTTTCTACTGGCATTTTTACATGCTTTCGAACTGTTAGGTTGGCAGAAGCTGGGACAAGTAATGGGAGCTCACTCCGTTATGCGGCACTAGGAATTTGAACTGCCAAATTGTGACCTTTCTGATTGACAAGCTCAGTGTCTTACCACTGAGTCACCGTATCAAAATCAGCCCTAAATTAAAGTGGGAAGCTACACCAATGCATTAACTGNGCCCGTTTTTCACTCAACAATTTTTTGTAGACAGTTTTCAAAATTCATCAGGAAGAAACCTTAAGCCAGTAGCAAGTGAAGTACTTTTGCCTATTATATTATTCATGAACTGCTACAGGTGAAACAACTGTCAGGGTTCCAAGTAATGTCCCCAACAGAAGTAAAATTCCAAAGCAGGCATTTTCCTCAAAGTTCCATTTGTTAGAGATGTCATACTGGCACATATAATAAAACCTGAATCTGAAGGTCTCCAGATTTTCCCCACCCAAATTAAGATCAAAGTTCCTTCCCCTGCACACACATGTCCATCACATGGTCCAATCATGTCCCCATCCCAACTGGAGTAACTTCCCAGTAATGCCTCTCCAGGTGCAGGCTGAATGTCCTTGACTCCGAGGGAAAATAATGTTATTATGGCTATACATCTCCCCATCTCTATCCACCCCCCCTCCCGTTTCCCACAGCATGCCAATCCACCAAGTGTAGTAGCCCCAAAGATCCAAAGTAAAAGATGGCCTCCAGGGTTGACAACAGCTTCCTACACTTCATACCTGAAACCAATTCACAACTCCTGAAAGCATCTTTACTTGCATTTACAGGTAGTCCTTGACTTACAACTGCAATTGAGCTCTGGCAATTACCACTGTTAAGTCATGGTATGACCAACCCAATTTTACAACTTTTTTTGTGGCAGTCATTAAGCAAACACTACAGTTGTTAAGCAACCTGTTGTCTGCCATGAGCTGGTTTGTGCCAGAAATCAGAAATAAACACTGTTTTTTCAGCAAAACTGTCATAAATTGGAGTCATGTGACCATGAGGGTCCTGTAAATAGCCATAAATGCGGGTCGGTACTGAGCACTCAAAATCAGTCACATAACTCAAAATTAGGGAGAGGGGGGCTAGGGGGAGGGAGTCCATCATAACTTTGAAGTTGTTAAGTGACCAGCTGTAAGTAAAAAACTACCTGTAATCAAAACCAGAAATAGTTTCATAACTTAGTATTTGAACTTGCACACTCCCAATGACTTAAAGGGGGGGGGGGGACTGTATTGTCTTACCAGCCTACAAGTCAGACCAATAACAGCTATAGGCGTCTGTGCAGATTGTGATATATCAAAAAGGTTATATAGTAATGTTTGATTCTTATGATGGACAAACAAATCAAACTCATCTAGAATGAACAAAACAGGGCAACTGTGGTCACGATCTCCTAAAACATAAAATCAAATTAGTACATATTAGAACTTTCAAGACATCTTAAGGTTATTACATTCATCTGCATTTTAGCTTACTTTACAATTTGGATGTTAAGAAAATCTCTGTATAAGTGACTGAGATGTTGATTATTTACTATATAAATAACTTTAAGTAGTACTTGTAAACACTATATAATTAATCAACATTTTCTTCCTTTATTGTTGAATAAAGCACTGGGCTCTGTGACAAGCTGGTTGATAAACAAAACCTTTTGTGGCATCATGCACTGATAACTCCACTGTAAGCGTGAGGCAAGTGCAATGCAAAAAACAAGGCACCCTGCAACCACGCAGAACAAGCACTGAGGGGGAAAAAGATCTATAAAGTTTGCTCATACAATTCAAGGAATAAATACGTCTGAACTACTAATCAGCCAAATATTTCCCACACTTTTCAACATAATGACCACTATTGTATTTCAGCAATATTATTTGTTATTTTTTTCTAGTTTTGACAAAAAAAATAAAGTGAACAATAGTTTCATAAATTCATCACTGATCTAAAATTATAAAATGCATGAAATATTGTTGAGCCAATGTAAAGTTCCATTTTACTGTATACACAATAGGCAAATCGTGCTGCATTTGTTTCTATTTAAAAGGTGGCAAATAAGTACATATTTATTTATTTTCTGCTTTACTGGACTTTTAGACCCCCATAATCATGCACTTCTGAGCACTTACAAGAAAAAAAAAACCAATCATACATTAATATAATGGCAATAAATATAATAACTATTGAAAATAATTTTCAAACCAAGGCACATTTATTACATTTTTATTTTATTCTTTAGTGAATGTCTCATTTAGTGACCACTCACAATTGCAATGGTGATGAAAAAGTAATTTTATAGCAAATCCTTACATTTATGACTTTTGTAGTTCTGTAAAGCCAGAAAAAGCAAATGGTCACAAGCAAAGTCACAGTTCCACTTAGTGACCACTTTGCATGACTGGTTTGCTGGTCCCAACTAAGGTCGCTAAACAAGGACTGTTTCCTCATTTAAGGCAGCAGGAAACACCCCTTCCATAAAGGAGCATTGACTACCTCCCAGATCCAGCTGATCACATACTCCCAGCTCTCCTTAAGAGTACAGAGGGACACAGATGCATCCCATAAGTGGCAGAAGACATATTACCAAGCACTCTAACCATTTTATTGACCTCTATAGGCTAGAAATCCCAGACAACATGACAAGATGTAACTCTGGTCACCACATAAAAAGCCAAGATTTCCATGAATGTCAGGAACATTGTTGGCAAAATGTTGCGCAAAACTTTACGCCTCAGTAACCAGAGAGCATATTTATATTTTTGAAATATACATTTTAATTATTTGAGAACTCAGAAGCCTTATAGCAGTAAATGTTAAACTTTTATCTAGTTTTCCAGGTGCAATCTAATTTCTGCTCACCTCTGTAAATTTTCTATCTTTCAGTGACAAAATAAACCATACATTTTATGTTATTAACTATCAAAGGGATACGTTTACCTTTCTTTAATGCTTCCAGAAGAAATGCAAGATTTTCTGCAAAGCTACCCTAAAAGACAAGCAAGTTAAAGATTGATTCGTGTATTATAATATGAAATATGGAAAATTGTAACACTGTAGCTGCTATCTAGAAATTTGTTTTACCTAAAATTTTGAACAACAAATTACATTTTTTGGAAATTTATAGTATGACAGTAGTTGCCATTTGTGCTACAAAATAGCTAAACTATTAAGACTAATGTTCTTTGGAATCCCTAAACTCTCTTATATTTCAATCATCATCCTGAAGCAAGGAATGCACTATTGACTCATGCATCATTTAATTTTGTTTTCCTATAAAAAGAAAAACTTCCCCTCATTTCTGTTTCAAGAACAACTGAAATTCTTTTTTAGATATGAGAGACATTAAGGATGTGCCAACTATTTTGCACACCAAACATTCTATTCAGACACAACTTTTGAATATTTTGTTCTGAGCAGAAGTGGCATAGGAAGGGAGCAGGGAAAAAGCCAAGGATTTTAATAGCTGAAACAGAGTGTTATCTAAATATCTAAATCACAGAGTTGAATGGCATATAAATTTAAATAATAATGATGATGGTAACAATAAACTATTTCTGACAATAATCCATAATTTTAGCACTTTAAAATAAAAAATATCAATTTTACAGAATCAGAATTTGACACCTCTTAGACTGAGATTCTCAAATGTGGTGCAACGCATTACCAAAAATTCAGATAGAACTGACTTTTCTATTTTATTATCACAAATTCAGGAATCTGGTCTAAATAATACAATTTAATAAAAGTTCAATTCAAACCCCTCTCCGAAAAAAATCTGTTATTTAGTCTAATGGGAAAAAATATACTAGAATTTCAGGATTGAATTGTGAAGTTCTTGATGGTCTCTGAACTTAGTTGTTTGCTTGCAGATGTTTCATTACCTGACTAGGCAACATCATTAATGTTAATAAGTGTGGGGTTTGCTCCCTGTATATTTACAGTAGCTTGCCCTGGTAGCATTGGTGGAGATTTGGTTTGCATCCAGGTTTCTACCTTTCCCTTTAATATATACAATCAATTACAATATTACATAATGATATATTAAATGTTAGATTTTTTTCCAAAAGGTAAAAATAAACTTATTTAGAACATCTATCCTTCATATCCTAAAAATATTGCTTAATAAACATTTTTACCTCACTAGTCATTATTTAATTCCATGTTGTTTCAGATAAGAAACTCTTATTTCTATTTATTTTCTCCACTTACTCAAAAGGAGAACCAATAGCTAACCTACACATGCAATCTCAAATGGTAATTATTGTAATACTAACCTAATACATTATTCTAGTATTCATACTACCATGTAAAGCTATATGGAATTCTAAATGTAACTTATTTTTCTTACAAAAACTTTATCTCCAACCACATTCTCCAAATTTAGCTGTCTTGTCATCTCCTTCAAAGCAATTCTATCATTGGTCTGTAATAATCCTACAAGATAAAAGGAAATATATTATTCTCTCTTGATTTCACTTATTAGCTGATACACATTATCTTCAAACAGAAAAAAACAAGATATATGCAACAGGGAAAATAAAGTTCAGAACTGCACTGACATAAATTGGGTTTATGTTTGCTTGTTTTTAATGTGTTTAGGTCCAGCTTAAAGGAAAGCACCACATGAAATAATTTCACTTGAGCATAAAGTAATTCCCTAATATATGTTCTTGCATCTCTCATTATTGACCATATTAGTTAGAGCTACTGGGAATTATATTGCAGCAACCTTTACAAAGCTGCCATGTCTTGATTTAGATATTGTTGCCTCTAAAACAACTTGTTCAGTCAACTAATCATAATTTTCATAAAATTATCCTACACTGAAATGGCAGATAGAAAGCATTATGTATTATTCTATCCCTGCTACCATAGATGGCAGTAACAGTTCTTGTTTCCTATTACTTAATACACTGTCTAAATTTAGACACAATCTTCAAGAAAATGAAGTATGATAATCAGAAATATTACTTACCATTTAAATGTACCTGCAAGATGTTCTCTTTCACCTCCTTTATTTCCAAAAGTTTTTTTAAGACATGGCAAACTAACTAGAAAAAAGATTAGTTAATTAATCATTTATGGTAAAACAGAATTGTGTATATATATGCATATATTTGACACTGTCAGTATTCAGAAATAATTAAGCTTTTTGGCACTAGCAATATAAGTTAGTATTATGATTATTTCTCTTTGGTTGGATCCCAGATTCTTTTATGAGTGGAGGCTCCCTTAGTTTCATGAAAGTCTGAAATTCATCATAGGTGCCTACTGCAAGAAAAAGGGACACAATCATTACACACATTGCTCTGGAGAACAGAAATTTGGGGGCTGTAAATAGAATATTTTCTTTTATTCCCTTCCCAGTGAAGCTGTGCAACTTGAAATTTGCTTCAGATGATTGGACATCAGAATCAGAAAGCCAGATAGTGATATCTGAGGGGAATATCGAAAAATATCCTCTTTCCTTCCCTTTGAAGAAACTTGCATGGAATCCAAATACCTTTTTGATACCTCTACATATATGGAATGAAACATACTTCGGGTTCTCAATAAAAGCATATTTTACAAGTATATCTACCACATAGCACCTGAAATATTGTTTGATATATGGACACATGAAGAAATCAAGAGAAAATCACAGTGCTTGTTATAGTAATACCCACTGGAAGAGAGGATGTCATACTCATATCAATGCTATTTATGTATACGGATGATAGTTTGAGAGTCATTTTGTGACAGGGAAAAAAACTGTTTAAAAAGACATGACACAGCACACTGTTTTGTGTGCTATTTGTTTATCTATTACAGGAGAATAGAAGAAACTCTAGTTGCATCATAGGTTACACTACAGGATTATGGATAATTCTATAGGGTTTTTTCACCACCACTCATGAGGAAAAATCTAATCCATGAGGAAAAAACAGTTTTTTTCTGTTATTATCCTACTCTAAAAATTTTGTAAGCTATCTTGCATAAAATTGCATATACTTAAAAGTGAAAGGTGAACATATAACAATAAACTAAAACAATTGATATTATCGGATTTAAAGAATTTTATCGAATATTTCACTAACTGCCTTCTGCTCAGACTCTTCTTCACCTCGTCTCACAAATCTGAGTGTCACTGTAGTAAGTTTGGAGGAGTCTTGGGGCAAAGGAGGTAGGTAAAATCTAAAGAAACAATCCATTCTGCAAATGAACCCTGCAGGTAGTCCTCAACTTACAACCTTTATTTAATGGCTGTTCAAAGTTATGGCACTAAACAAAGTGATTTTTGACCATTTTTCACATGACAGTTGCTGCATCCACAGTCACGTGATCAAAATTCAGACACTTTGCAACGGATGCAGTGTCCCAGGGTCATTTGATCACCTTTTGCAACCTTCTGACAAGCAGTCAATGAGGAAGTCAGTTTCCCTTAACAATCATGCTACTAACTTAAGAATTGCAGTGAATCATTTAAGAATGGCGTCAAGAAAGATCGTACCTGTAGGTACGAATACAGGATTACCTGTATTCCATCAGTAGTTACCATATTTTTCAGAGTATAAGACGCAGCAAGGTTTTGAAGAGGAAAATCAAAAAAGTTTTTGCATTCTGCAAATCTCCAAAGAAACGGACCATTTTTCGTGAAAACTGGCCCGTTTCCCGCACAAAAAAAAGGCATGAATAGCCTTTAGGGAGTTTGCAGAGTACTCCCGAGGGGGAGGAGGGGAGGGGCAAGCAAAAACCGGCCCATTTTTGCAAAAAAAAAGGGGGGGCATGGATAGCCTTTAGGAAGGAGTGCTCTTGGGGGCTGGGGGGGGGTGTAAAATTTAGCAAAACACAGGCCGTTTTTTTGCTCATTTTTGCCCTCCCAGCTCCCAGGAGCTCTCTAAAATTCCTAGAGGCTATCCATGCCCTGTACTGCCATTTTGGTGAAGGGGCGGCGTTTTGGGAGGCAAAAAATGCTGTATTCAGTGTATAAGATGCACCCAGATTTTCAGCCTCTTTTTTTGAGGGAAAAAGGTGCGTCTTATACTCCGAAAAATATGGTACTTCACTAAATATGTAATTAAAAGGGGAAAGCTAAGGCTTAATAGGTATAAATGCTCTGAACGACAATTATCTAATATACAAAATATAAGCACATTTAAAAATATTACCAGAGTCTTTCCTGACCCTCGTGGTCCAATAACAAGTACAGAATTGCTTTCCCCATTAATGGCAGTATGTTTTATCAGCTCAAGTAACTGTCTGTGGGAAAAGACACACATTTCAGCTTCAGACAAGGACATATCTAGGGAATTTTTCAGATATCAATTTCATCTCAAGAGAAAATTAATTATCATCCAACCATTTTAAAACATACAAATACCCAAAGAACCAAATTTCAGCAAATACCTGAAAATTCCCAACAAAACTACTAAATTCATGAACATGTCTTCCAATCATATGGCCAAGTTATATCTCGTATTCATTATACGATTGATAAGAGTACGAATAACTGAAAAGAATGAAAAAACTCCCATCTTTAATGGGAAGGAGATTGTCTATCTACCATTTATCCAGAGTAGAAAATAAAGCTTTTTTCCAACTGTAGATACAGAATAGCTGCATCTGACAAAGGGTTCATAACAAAGTGGTAACTATTCACTGAGTAAGCTTATAAATAATGCAATACTTGTTCCAGGTCTGCTAAAAAAAGCTTCAACTATAACCAAGCTAGCATCATTTAAAAGACTAAGGATCATGTTGCTCCTGGGCATGTGTCACTCAATACAGCATTCAGAGAAAAAAATTGCCAAGGAGATGTCCTCCAAGACAGGACAACTACTTGGCTAACAGCAAAATTATTTGGATGTAGCAACTAGATTCCAGCTATTAAGCAACAGATATCCATATATGGTAACATTTGCAGGTACAACTATGCTGACACTAACTCTAGACTGATGTTGGTCATGAGTGCTGTGGCCTTGACCAGGTTGTTAATGACCTAACGCTGCCACTAGGTCTTTTAGGAATCAATGGGTGATTGGGAGACCAGGGGCCAAGGGATTTACTGATCGTTTAGATCAGGAATATCAAATCATTTTGAAAACTCATCTTCACAAATCCCTTGATGTCATTTCATCTTATTACTCCTAATACTCAAGCCAACAAACCAAGTTCTTAAGTATCTCTCTAATAGAAAGGCTGAATAAATACTAATCAAATGAATTGGGTATTACCATATTTTTTGCTCCGTAAGACGCACTGAACCATTAGACGCACCTAGGTTTAGAGGAGGACAAGAACAAAAATATCAGGTGGAGCCTGAGAGGACAGATAGGTGTCCTCTAATGTGCCAGCTCTGCCTATTGACTCCTATACTGCGGAGAAGAGACAGAAGAGGTGGGCAATGACAAAGACAGAAGAGGCGAGGTTTAGCACTGTAAAAGGACCTTGCCACCGCGGTGCTATTCACCAAAGGACCAACATTGTTTCCACCCACTTTTGGGGGGAAGAGAAGAGCATCTTATGGAGCAAAAAAAAACAGTAATTTATAAGATATAATCAGAGCACTTAGGATAGGATATAATAAAGTGGGATCCTCTGTTTTCCATATGTGGGTCTTCAAACACTCCATCCCAACCATATTGCATCCATCAACACCACCAAAACACAAGAAGGCAAAGTAAAATGGAGCTGGCCCTCACCTTTTTATAAAAATTCCACCTGGGAGAAAAATCTTCTTGTTCCTCATTGGTTGCTGAATGTTTGATTTTCCCAGATTTTGACTATCTCTTACCTAGATTGACAGATTTAGTTTGATTGATGGTTTAGATTTAGATCCTGAACCCCCAGGAATGTGTTCTTTCCCATTCTAACAAGTGAAGTGTTCTATTAGAATCAGACAGCACAATGGAAACTATTGAGATAATTCAAGAAAAGCAACATCTGATATCTTGAATAACTGCCACCAGGAATGCTCCTTTTTACTTTTTATCTTTTTAGTAAGTCTATGAGATTGTACAAGGCAATATAATTGGATTCAGAACACCTTATGAGAAATGGGGGGAGATCCTTCTGATTGCAAAAATGAATTAAATCTACAAGAGTCTTTCCATTCTAGTAACTTATTTTAGTGAGAAGAATATTTTTGCTTATTTTATTTTCCTTTATCCTCAAACAGCATATCTTCTTTTGTAAACAGCCATAGAGTTATAGGAAAAGAGAAAATAGGCAAATTACATCCCTCTTCTCTACACAATGGTATCATATTTGCAGCACTCTGTTCCAACCTAATTTGGGGAAGGACTGATCTCTAAAAACTACGAGGTTCAAACCCTAGGAGATTCATTATGAAACTCTCAAAAACAAAGGAAAAATATTTTTGCTTACTTATATTGATGCTCAAGTCCAAATAACTTTCCATTTGGATTCAGGTGACAGAATCTTTCATGTAATATTTTTTGTACCTATAAATATTTAGACATGTTATTAAAACATATAAAACTAATAGACAATTTTCTCCTTACTTTATGAGGCTCACAAAGATGTTCAGACCATATTAAAAAGCATGTTCAGAAAATAATATAATTTATTAGTACCTAAAAAGTAATATTTGTAAAGGAAGATATTTATACCTCTCCAGGTCTATATAAGATTAAAAAAACCTACAGATAATTCTGAGTATTAGAATTTGAGAAAAGTGGAAATATAATTGGCCATGCCATTATTTTCTAAAGCTTCATAGTGCTTTCATTAAAAAGCTAAATATAATTTTGCAAAAAATTATTCATGAGGATTAATGTAGGTTTTTACCTAAAGAGTATTAAAGGATAATCTTAGAAATGTGTTCAACATTTTAGAATATTTGGCGCCACATAATTAAAAAACAAGCCATATTGATTTTTGTAGATGTATTCTTAGAGGGGTAGGGTTATGGGCTTTATTGTTTAATGTTTTAGAAGATATAAACTTTGGAAAAAATATAAAATGGATAACGTTGATTTACATTTCACAAAAAGCTCAAATAATTGTTAATGGAAATTTAACAAAGCTTTGTAAGATACCAAAAAGAACAAGAGCTCACCATCTCCTCTCTTATTTATCTGGGTTCTTGAAATACTGAATAAAGATTTAAGACAAGATGAGAGGATTGTGGAGTAAAGATTAAGAAAAAAAGACTTCTAAATTAAGGCCTTTGTAGATGGTTTGGTGCTGATTTTGTAAGATCCTTTAAAGTGAATTGAAACATTGTGAATATTAATATAATTTGGTGCATTAGCAGGTTTTGAACAACAAAAAGAAGATAAAAATGTTAACAAAGACATGAAAACAGAAGATCAAACAGAACTGATGAATAAAATGGGCTTTAAAATTTAGAAAAAAAATATTGTCACTCTGGCAAATATGAATTATGTTATTTTAAAATAATTATGTTAAGACAGGGATTGAAGTTAAAAAATAAATGCTAAAATGTGAGAAACTACAATTGACATTGCTGGGAAGAAAGTCTATGATTAAGATAAATGACTTTCCAAGAATGTTTTTCTTTCAGACAATACTTGTTTTGTTGACAACTGATGCACTATTTAAACAGGATACATCTAAATGTATGTAGCAGGAGAAAAAAATAAGTTAAATGAAGCGGTTACAAGAGGCAAAGAAAAGAGGATTACCATATTTTTCAGAGTATAAGACGCACCCTTTTCCCTCGAAATATCGAATACAGCATTTTTTGCCTCCCGAAGCCCCGCCCCTTCACAAAATGACCGTTCATACCCTTATGGAGGTTTTCAGAGAGCTTCTGGGGGCTGGGGAGGGCAGAGATGAGCAAAAAAGGTCTGTTTTTTGCCCTCCCCCCATCAGCACTCTATAAGCCTCTATAAGACTATGCATGCAATTTTTTTTCACAAAAAACGGGCCCACTTTCACAAAAAAATGGGCCGTTTTGGTGAGGTTTGCAGAGTGCAAAAACCTTTTTTTTTCCCTTTCAGAAAGCTCTTCAGTTAGAGTGATTGATGAGAATTACATTGATCAAGTGCTGTGCCAGCAGAAACAAGTTTTAGGTGCTGCAGGTTGTTAGCAATTTCCTTCTCCAGCACATGGATAAATACATCTGGAAACATCTACCTACCTACCTATCTACTCTCTCTCTCCCTACCTACCTACTGTATTTCTCTCTCTCTCCTTCTATCTACCTGCCTTTTTTTTATAATTTGCCTCTTCAAAACCTTGGTGCGTCTTATACTCCAAAAAATACGGTATGTCTACCTGATTTAAGATTTTATTTTGTAGCTTGCTGTTTTAGATCAAGGGTGTCAAATTTGCATCGCCATGGTGGCATCAAATGACGCACTGCAACTTTCTCCCCTTTCGGTAAACTGGGCATGGGTGTGGCCGGACAGTGATGCATCTGGCCCGTGGGCCATGAATTCAACAGACCTGATTTAGATGAAAGAGTAGGTGTTCCTGAGAAACAGGAGGCTTTTGGAGTTAGAAAGACCTGAGATTTGGGTGATGTATTTGTGAAAATGACATATTTTAATTATGTAGTTATGGAAGAAACTAACACAAAATCTAAACCAGAAATCACTCCATATCCTACATAATGGTCCAAACAGTAAATGGACTTTAAACATTAAAAAATTCATTAAACCCAGGGCAAAATATTCCATAGGGCCAGGGCTACCATAGAAAAGCATCTCAGCTGATCCAGAGATGATAGCTCATTAGAGGACATTAGATCTGTCTTCTCCTGACTTTAAAGAGGCTTTCTTAACTGTAAATTGTTAAGATTTGGACAAAGAGGCTATTTTTTTCTGGGCTGTTCCAAAAGGATGAGCCAGAGGATTATAAACTTTAATTAAGTGAATGCAGTCATGACAACCATCTCCATGCCTCGAGTCCCCCTCACAAGGATTGCTGAATTCAATGAAGTTTCTCCCAAGTGACAAGTTTTTGATATATCAAAATAATTGAAAGAGGTTGTTTTGCAACTAACTAATGAAAAGGCATAGCAGAAAAAAAATACTATTGCATCTGGCAGCCAGTGTAAAGGACAGAGAATTAATGTCATTTGATCAGAGTATTGAGTGTAGGCTGCCCATTCTGGATGAAGTGCAATTTCCAAGTGATCTTCAAAGCAGACTCATTGTACAGGAAGATCTCTTACAATAACCCGGAAGGGACAAATCACTTCAGCAGGTTGGGTTGCAAATAGCATATCAATCAGAGCTGGGCACAAGACTCTGATTATCATTGCCTTTTGACTTTCCAGTAGTAGTCAAGAATCATGAAGAACCCCCAATCATGGTCTACTTCAAGTTATTGGAACTAACATAGAAACTCTAATTTCTGAATGTTTTCAAATCTAATACCCAGGCATAGGAAGACCTCCATTGCACACAGCTTCATATTCCTAACAAAAACCCTTGTCCAAATGTCCCCTTTGCTAGGGAAATTCAATTTACAGAGTTACTTGTATATTAGGACAAATCACTGAACTGTATTTTGCCTTGTAGTTTAAAAATGAAATTGTAAGAATGTTACAATTGTTAGTAAGAATATTACTAACCTTTGAAATGCATTCCCCATTTGTAAAGCTATCGTCCTTCAACTTCCGTTTGCTCATTTTAATTCACATTCTAAAAGGATAAAATATATTACAGAACTTAATTTCATCATGTTTAAAGTAATAATTATTCCCTATTTGTTTAACCTAGAATAGCAAAAATAGATTTATAATATTTACAGAACTACATTGTTAGTCACATGTAATGCCATTTAGACAGAGACAAACAGCAATTGTGAGTCATTAAAAAAGTTTACACATTATTCAGCTTAAAAATTCAGTTGTAAAAATGTTCAGATCTAAATCTCCCTTCAATTATCTGATTTCTCTTCAAAAATTGACTTGCAGTTACTTTTAAAATCACATGCCTTTTGAAAACCAAATCCTGAAGGCTTTATTTTTTCATATTTGATAACAAAGAAAAAAAAGATCAACATAAAAATGATAGTAATAGTCAAAAAGAACACAAAAATGTAGTAACAAAAATATGACAAAAAGGATGTCATTATAACAAGGCAACTACAATTCTATATATATTTGCCTAATGGAATTATTCAAGTACACACACACACACACACACACATACACACATTTCTAATAGATTAATGCATCTTTTTAACCTAATGTATTCTGTATAAATGAATATCATAATTTAATCTTGAAGGCTGTGAAGTTCATGACTCTAGGAGGTGAACAATAGAGAAGAGCCTGAAAATAAAATGCAGGTAGTCCTTGACTTATGACTACAATTGACTAGCATTTTTGATGTTACCTTGTTTGGATAATGAAATGTATGTTTACTGTCAAATGCATGTAACTACTAGAAAATGCTTAAGTAGCCACAATTCTTAACAGCAATATGTTTTCGTTATTACTATGGAAGTCTTTATTCTATACTAACAATTCTTAATAATATCTGTACAATTTTTTTACTACTGTGATTGCATTATCTTTACAGACCTGCTAAAAATACTCAATGTCTGAGACTTGCAGTATAGAGTTTATTTTCAAACGTAACTTAGACAGAACTTTGGATCACTTGTAGCAGTGGTGGGATATGACCAGTGCCTGCCGCTCGCACCAGGTACTGTTCCGGAGGGCCTGCCGCTCGCTCCTTACCTGTATTTGAGCTGATTGGGGCTTCCACGCACGGAGCCTATGGCACCTTCACAACACTCCAAACAGCTGAAGCGTCGCAGAGGCGTCGCAGGCGGTAAGTACGCATGCGCATGTTGTGCATGTGCATGTGGTGGACGCCCAGCCCCATTGCACCGTACTAGTTGCACTGGGATCTGGAATCCACCACTGACTTGTAACATCAGCAATTCCCCAATCCTATTTTTGTATCATATGAAGGGAACATATTCATGTATCAAATTGTGAAAAGAAACTTCCATATACCTCTTTGAGATAACTATAATAATCTCAATAAGTTTAACTATCAGTGAAATAGTATGAAAGAAATAATCTTTTAGATTTTTCATTTTTAGGAAACATTTCTGCTCCGTTTCCCCCCCCCCCAAGCTTTGTGAACAAAAGGCATTAAAAAACCTACACCAGAATTGCAGAGGTATGTAGAAATTTCATTTTACAATTTGATATATGAATATGCTCCCCTGGTAAGATAGAAAAATAGGATTGGGAATTGCTGACACTACAAGTGATCCAAAAAGTAATTTTCAATAAAATGGGAATCTCGATAAATTTGTTTAATAGTTAACTATTTATCAACTATTTATTAAACACATTTATCGAGCCACCCATTTCATTGAAGATGACTTTTTCACCTCCCACAAAACAGTCACTACTTGTATCTATTTTTATGCTAAAAATAACAGCAAGGGGTCCGTGATGGCTGAAAGTTAGTTAGCGTTTTGAAGAGTTCAATAAACGACCAGCCCAGCTACAGCCTGGTAAATATAAACCATCCCAAGTCAGTGAAATCGGTTCGCAAGACTTAGCATCTTAAAAACGTCCGGTTCCTTCCACCTGAGGGAGCAGCATCAAGTCAGTCGCTTATCAAAAGGTCTATAAGAGGGAGATTAAAACATCAGGAGCAGGATACGCGAGCATATCGCCTCGAAAGATAACCTGCCATTCTTCCCTCAGGACTTGAGCGCTCCAATCATCTTAATCTGGGCCTTTTTTTTCTTTTGAAAACCTACATTCGAGATGATCCTAGCCTGAGGAAGTGACTCCTCGGATTCAATTTACAGCGCCGTTTCCTCAGAAGCAACCCCAAAAGGGGGGGGGGGGAACCGGTCTGCTCGTTTCCCGCAGGCGCCTCAAAAAGCCTCCTTGAAACGCCTCGGAGCCGCGAGCCCAACTTTGCCATTCTCAGAAATCCCGTTCATAAAACGAGGACCAGGCGACACGGGATTCCGGACTCACCGGCCCCTGCTCCATTCAGCTCCCCTCACCCCCGGGTTCCTCCCGACTTCTGGTTCCAACCGCAGAAACTCTTCCCTCAGCGCGAGTCTTTCACCGCCTTTTACCTCAGCGAACCACTCAAACCTCCCAGCAAACACCGCGCACGCGCTTCCCGTGCCAGCTCTCCCGCGTGTGCGCACGCGCGTCACGGCCATTCTACACCCTGACTGCATAACGAGCCTGCCTGTCTGTCCGTCGCGGGCCTTTTCAAGGCTCTCTTCCTTCTCGCCTCTACACAAACATACACACACACACACCCATCCCCATTTCCGCTCGACGCGCCGATATTTTTCCCCGCCCACCGCTTCCGCCTCCCCCCTCCTTTTCTTCCATCTTTGCGGAATCTTTTTCCGGGTTCGCTTTTTAAGGCGCGGGGCCTTGTGGGAGGAAACTTTTCCCTCCCCCTCCTTTAACCCAAGCGAGCTCCCACGGGGCGCATGCGCACTGACAGCCTCCCATCTTTCTCCCAGCCAGAGAGAGCCAGAGCCTCAGCAGCAGCAGCAGCAGCAGCTGATGATGAAGAAGAGAGGGAAGGGGGAGACTGGGGGGACCTTTTATTTATATTGTTAAAGGGACAGAGCACTAATTCCACCTTGAATTGGTTTGCGGGGTGGGGGGAGCTTAGCTCCGAGAAGATNTACATACATACATACATACATACATACATACATATATATAATGGGTGTTTTCCCGTGTAAGATTGAGATTGGGCTGAAGATGGCAAGTGAGACCTCGCTGAAACTTTGCCAAGACAATCTCAATCTTACACAGGAAAAGACCCGAATACAACATGACCAGCATACCTACACCCGTGAAGATCTACGAATATATATGTGTGTGTGTGGGTGTGTGTGTGTGTGTGTGTGTGAGAGAGAGAGAGAGAGAGAGAGATTTTCATATATATGAGGAGTAGCATTATTGCATTTTGAAACTGATTTTTCCTAAATTAATTATTTTTAATGATTACCTTTTATAATTTTAAATCTTGTGCTTATACATTTTATCTGAGAATGCCAAAGTCTTGTCAGAGGAAAGGGAAAAAATATTTACATAAAATCTGAGCATTTCATAAATTGTTGAGATGGGCAGCACATAGTGAAAATCCCATAAATAAATAAAATATCTGTGACAATTGACACAGTGATCAGTCTTCTCGAACAATTTAAACTTTAAACACGTTTAAACATTTTTGCTTCTTTCATTTTAATTGTCCAATTCCCTTATTCTTTTAAGAGTTTTTTTCGGAAGTTTTTTTCCAGTTGTATAACATCCTTTCTAGAATGGAGAAAATAGTATTATGTGGAATGTTTCAATAGCTAGGTGATACAATTTTATTATTTTGTCTACTTCTTCCCTAAAATTTCCATGACTGAATTGCCAATTTTCTATTCCATATGTAGTACAATCCATAATCTGAAACATGGGAATGTTTTGTTAAAATGAAGCCACACTTTATTTATTTAGAAAAATGAGTAATTTTATTTCAATGTATTCTCCATACAGTTTTCCCATTTACAGTGGTAGCAGCTTATTTAAAACTATCAAATTTATCTGCTAAAATGTGTTTTATTCAAAGATTTATAATTTTTGAAAGTGGGTTCTGTGGTTTCTTATGAAGATTTTTAAAATTCTGACAAAACTGACAAATATTGTGCACGTAACTTAATGAGATATATCTTCAAATAGATATTCATACCTGTCTTCCTTAAAAGATTATAACATGCAAAGAATAAACTATAGTCACTTTTAAATTAAACAGTTGTCTGTGGAAAAAAAACAAGTGCTTATATTTGTTAGCTGCTTTGCTCAGTTGCTCTGCACAATAGTTTTAATTTCTTTCTGTATTAGATCAAGAAAATTTTTATAAGAAAATGCTTAAAACGTGCATCAACTTTTGTTCTTGTTTCGGAGAAACCTATTGCAAAAGAATGTATACTTTAAAAGTTAACAGAGGTAAAAATTGTTAGCAATTTAATTTTTCCAAATTTGCTTAGGTATAACAAAGATACTGAGTTACCATTTCATTTAAATTGTAGGTGCCTCAAAGAATCCATAGATATTATGTTACAATAGGTAGTATATTGGTGAAGATTCAGACCTGAAAGGTTTCATCTTTGTTTACATTTAAGCAGGCTATAAATTATTTGTTTCTCCACTTAGCTTATGTTTTTATATTCTATGCGAATTATTTTCTTAAGAATTTTATTTAAAATGGTACAACTCTTAGAATGCCAATGCACAAATAACTTTAATATTAACTTTTTAAAAAACAGCTCAAAGTTCATTACTTATTTTTCAGAACAGTCATTACATGCCAAGTCAGAATGATACCTCTGGTTTAAACTCAACTCAAAGCAATGGGGAGACATATGATCTAGTAAATCCACGAACTATATTATTTTTTAAATAAAATCCTATAGTGGTTAGAAACTTCTGGTAGTAAATTCATTTTTCTTGGTGAAATAAATTGCTGAAGAGGTTTCCCAGTAATTCAAATCAGAACTGTACTTTCAGAATACTATAACCTAATTATATATAACTAACCAACCTGATGTCCCAGGTTAGATTGGTCCAATCTGGCTTCTGTTCCAGGAATGTATGAGCAGGAATTCTCCGGAAAGGCCATAAACAGGACAAATTTTCAAAACAAACCTCTTTCTTCTAATGTTCCCTAGCAACTGGTATTGAGCACTTACTGTCAATGACAATCTATGGGGATCATATTTGCTATCCATTAATTGTGGTATTTTTCATATATGTTTCTAACTTACTTTTTAAGCAGTCTAGCCTTTACAAAATCTTGTGATAATGAAGTGCGCTGTTTGTGCCAATAAAGTATTGCTTTAATATGTCCTGAATGTGTCAGTATTTAGGGTTGTTGTTTGGTTTTTGTAAAGGTGGATTTGATCTAAATCAAGTCGATTTAAAGCATGATTTAAATCACTAGTAAAAAGGCTTGATTTAAATCAACTCGATTTAAATCATCATTTTTAAAGAGCAATTGTCACCTCTGTCCTACAGCGGCTTCTCCTCTAACCTGCTGTTGACTCAACGACAGTCCCAATATTGCAGAATATACAGCCTCATGCTACATAATTAAGCTCATGCTGAATAAACTAAATTATTAATGTATCTTAAATAGAAAACTAGCCTTAGATAGATTTTTACTCCAAAAGTACTTTATTAAAATAAATTGGATTAAAATAATAAAAAATCAAATTATTTTTTTAATCCATTTTTTTAAAAAAAGTCATTGATTTTTATCCACCTTGGTTTTTGTCACTGTTCTGAACAATCTTGGGATCTAGGATATTTTGAAAACAAATGAAAAAAATCTGTTGTCTTCCCCCCTTTTTGTATAATTTTGACTCTCATGTTTGTCCCTTTCATAGCTGAAAAGCTGTCTGAAAAGATGTAGCTCTTTCTTATAAGGGAGTTTCATCCCCTCATCTTTCACTTTCCTTTTCTGAGACCGTTCCACATCTACAATGCTCACTTTTTTGTGCCTACTTTTATTAAAGCTTATTCCAGCAAAAGTTGGAAAACTTAAGAGAAAGGGGGAAAAATGTAGTGACTTTTTTTAGTGCATGAAAATAGAATTACAAGCTCAACCATTTATTTGCTTTACATTTCTCAACATTTCAAGCCATTTCTATAACAGCAGCAACAATCTAATGATCAAAACCTACAATCAGAGTTTTATTTTTTTTTCCAGTTTCTAAAATACTTTTTGAGGTACAGTGACCAATATTGTACTTTATATTCTGAATGATTAAACATGGATTTGCCTTTTCACAGTGGTGGGCTCATATTTTCATTGAGCTATGCTGTAGAATGTGGATTTTTTAAAAAGTGTTTCACTCTCTTTCATATTTATACTAGATTTATGGAGCAACTCAGGGGTGGTTGCTGCTAGCATTACTGCCGGTTCGCTTTGTGCATGCACGTGCTACACTTTGATTGTGCATGCGCAGTTGCCTGTTAATTGTTCTGTGCATGTGCAGAACATTATAAAATGAGAAAAAAACATGCTGGCAAAGGCATGGGCAATCGGGGAGTTGGTTCAGGAGCATGGCTGGCCGGCCATCCCTACCATTTCGGCAACCCAGTCTCAATGTCCACTACCGGTTCGCCTGAACCAGTGCAAACCAGTAGCAACCCACCTCTGTAACAGCTGTAATTTTTTAAGGTCCTCCTGTCCACACGTTATTTTGAGGCATTTTAGTTAACTCTTTAAAGCCACTGAGATGCTTCACTGTATAATTTCAATACAGAATCACCCCCCTACTTTGCAAAGGCAAACAGTGAAGGACAGAAATGCATTCACAATGCTGCATCAAGCTTCACATTAGGCTAAGTTGTAAATCTTGCCTCTACAACTATTGGCTTATTTGATTTTAAAAAAACCTCTTACATACAACAGCTAGTTTGATTTCTTTATAGTATGGCAGACAAAAATGAAGCCATATGTACACAGAAGATCTGTCTACTGCACTATATGGAAGCCAGACTATCAACCTTGCATTCATGAATATAATTTCTAGGACTTCCCTCCCCCACACTTTTATCAGTCAGTGGACACTTAATTCTAAGGTCTTGGAAGGCATCTGATATAGTTTTGCATAATAATTCCCTCTAGCCTGGAAACAGTGGCTTCCTGCTTTGGCAATTTTAGTTCTCACATCTACAGATAATAGTGTTTTATAATGTGGTGGGATTTCTATTTATTTTTATTTTTCCCCCTTTTAGATATTGTATTTTCCCTGCCTTGTACCATGCTAGCTCCAGGTTTAAGAGATCTTTTAGAGATTTCTGGATTAGGTTCCTTTAAAGATACGCTTCACTACTTTTTTTTGTCCAAATGCCAATTTCTGTGGAATAAGAATATGATTCAGAAGATATACCATATTTTTGGAGTATAAGACGCACCTTTTTTCCTCAAAAAAGAGGCTGAAAATCTGGGTGCGTCTTATACATTGAATACAGCATTTTTTTGCCTCCCCAAGCCCCGTCCCTTCACCAAAATGGACACTCATACCCTTATGGAGGCTTTCAGAGAGCTCCTGGGGGCTGGGGAGGGCAGAAATAAGCAAAAAACGGGCCGCTTCCCCCCCCCCAGCAGCACTCCATGGCTATGCATGCAATTTTTTTGACAAAAAATGGGCTCATTTTCGTGAAAAAGGAGCAGTTTTTGCTCATTTACCACCACCCCTGGAGCACTCTACAAGCTCCCACAAGGCTATTCATGCCTTTTTTTTAAAAAACGGGCCATTTTTGGGAAGTTTGCAGAGTGCAAAAACTTTTTTCNCCCCTGCTCTCCCCTCCTCCCCCTTTATTACCCTTTGTGTGTGTGTCTCTTTCTCCACTGCTCCAGGAGAGGAAATAAAAGTGGGGTGCAGCCAAGGTAAGCTGGTCTCTCTATATGCAAAAGGGAGGTAAGGCAAGCTTGTGCCTTCTCCGACCCCACAATTTCACTCCCGAGGCGAAGCGATCTGGATAGTGGGAGGGTGTTTGTTTTCTTGATATTCTCTCTATCTCTCCCTCCCTCCCTCCTTTCCTTCTCTCGTTTTCTTTTCTGTTTCTACTTTTGAGCACAGGGAAGCAAGCGGTTCGTGTGTTGCTGGGAAAGGGAAAAAAGTAGTCCCTTGATTTCTGTTTTATTTTTAGCAAGCACAGATTGAAAGGTGTTTGGAGGGGGGCAGTTGTTTCATTTGAATTAATACAGGAGGTAGATAGGTGTGTGTTCATTATTATTATTTTTTTGCTCCTAGTTGTGTGCAGTGAAGCCTTTCATGACTGGGTTCTTTTTTATTTTGCCCTTGCATATTTATGGCTTCCAATGAAACCCAAACTGCCATAGATTGGTGGCTTTTTTTGCTTTGTGGGTGATGTTTGAATGCAGGGAGATAGAAAAGTCCTTCCGACAGCTATTCCACCGGTTTTTTGTTTTTTGGTAGAAAGATTTATGAGCATTTACTGTTGGTGGTCTTGAGAAGTTGGATTCAGGTTATGTAGTAGAAAATGGATTAAATCTGTTATCTGGATATTTTTGCTTTGAAGTAGTATTGGAATATTTTGCTATGTATTTTGCAACAATATCAGTACATTAATTCTGGAACCTATTTCTTCCACAGTTACATTTATTAAGTTATGACACTTTTGAACCCCAGGTCCTTTTTTATGGTTATGTATAAGCAAAATAACATTATATCTATTTATTATTGTTTATTTTGTGAATTAATGTATCAACGTCTGAGGATTTAATGAAGAATTTATTTTCGATATTATGTACATTACTACTCTGCTAAGGATTCATTTGTTTGATTTGAGAAGTTAAAACTCAAAGATGCTTATCTAAAGGAACTGCTACTTATATAGGCAGGGGTTAAGAATCCTACCTCAATCCTACAGTCTACTTATGTGCATATATAAATCTCATTAATTTGGAGGAATATATTGGACAGCATTTTATATTAAATAGATTCCATTGCAAAGTTTGGACTTAATTTGAAGTTGGAGAAGTAGAAAACTTTAAATACATCCAATTTCAAATCTTGCTCCTATTGTTTGGTGGGTTCTGTTGTGAAGTTGCTGGGATATTTTTAATGATTTTGTTAAAGTAAGAGAATATTGTGTTGTTGATTTATTAAAGCCTGCAAGGTATATTTGAACTGTGATATGTGCACAGATGGCCCATATATCTCAGTAGGCCTTGGTTAGGGAATCTAACCAAGTAACCTGCAGCTTGATATATGCTGCTCCCTTGCTTAACATTTGATTTTTTTTTAAAAAAAACTCAATTCTTCCTTCTTTCCATGCTCTCTGATAACATGTATACATTGATAAAAGTATCTTTCCTAACTTAGTTGTCAATATAGACAAGTATTTTTGAACAGCAGATGCTTGGTGAAAAACCTTACTTGGAGTTCAGTTGGGCATACATATTGTAAAAATGTTGAGCTTTAGTTTTGAAGAATTGTTTATGTTCAGCTCTTAAAATGTAGTAACAAGTAACTTGCTCTATGAAAAAAAGTGTAACACTTTTTAGTTTGAATACAGTAATTTAAATTGTACACTTAAATTGTACACTTAGGCAAAAGTTCTGGGATATCATTTTTAAAAAAACGTTTGTGAGCATTCCATTTTTCTTGAAGAATGTATAAAAGTCTCAGTATAGATCATGAGAGCAACTTCAGGTAATACTCTGACAAGTTCTAATTGTTTTCAAATAGGTTACATACATTCACATACATGGAATTATTTTCATTTCTTAACTGCATAGTCAACATTTAATATAACATGAATATTAAAGTAATGCTACTAACTATTCAGTTAAGTATTAAATTCTATAGATTCATATTAATTTGCAGTATATTCATATTTTGTTAGCAAATAACTACTCTTTAACAACTATATTTTAACTAAAACTATATTTGCTTAAATATGAATGGATTTATATTCAATCCTATATAGTATTTGAGAATAAGTATTAGATATGTTTGCTGCTTTGAGTTATTTTTAAAAAAAATAATAAAGGCGGATTTGATTTAAAATTACTATGCATAGGATGTGGCTGCAATGTGTGTGTGTGTGTGTATGTGTGTGTGTGTATGTGTATATATACATACAATATATATATATATCCTGTTTAAGTTTTGATTGTGAGCTGTTAACTAGATTTCTTCATTCAAAACAATATATTTAATTATGGATAGGCCTTTATTTCAGAGCATTGTTATTTTTAATAAAGTAAACCTTTGTAAATTCTAAAGTTATGTTGCATGCTTCCTTGAGAGGTTTGTAATGCAAAATGTACAAGGATTGATAGTTTGAAAGGTGATTCTTTGTTTTAATCTGTAGAATATTTTAAATTTGAAAAATTTGGATCTAGGAAGACTGATATGAGCACAAAGCATAGTTTTCAGTTGAAAATAGCTCTCATGATCTTATTGGAAATATTCCAGTGCTGTTTTAACCATTCAGGAAGTGTTTTGAGTTTGAAACAAGAGGGTCAACATACTTCTGGAAAAATCAGAATACCCCATTTTTGAATTCCTTGAACCTATATCTTATAATTATAGCATATAAAAGTACACTGTAGTTTGAAAACTGCAACTGCTGTAGAACATATTTTTTTCAGAAAAATATTCCCAGATCCAACCCCCGGCACTTCTATCTAGACCTGAATAAAGTTCTTTTTGAAAAAATGTCTACTTTGTATGAAGCTTTTGAAAGTACACGAAAATGAACTTAAAAACAATCTCAAGCTTTATCTGTCCACAGTATGATTTGAATTATTTTAGAATAATGCGTAGTTTTAGAATAACACAGTCAGCTTGATAGGGCGATTAAGATGTTGGTCTAGGAACAGGGAGATGCAGATTTTAATTTACCTTCAGCCATGGAAGCTCAGTTGGTGACTGGGCCATTCTCAAACTAGTCTGCCTCACAAGATTGTAGTGAGAGGAAAAACAGAGATTGCTCTGTATGCCTCCTCGAGTTTCAGAAAGAAAGATCAACTATAAATCTAACCAGTAAATAAGTAATCATCACACATATAGCTGTAAAGTGTTTAATGGAAATATTTTATCTGAGTAACAATTTCTGAACTATGCAGTCCAAGTTAGTTTAACATGACTGAAATTCCACAGGTCTCCTTCATTAAATGTTTTCTTTAATAAGGTTTCCTGCAGATGGAAAGCTGGCATCTATACAACCAAAACATGTCTTGGTTTGATCAATAATGTTTGGCCACTGAAAGATGGGCAAGTTCTATATTTTGTATATTTAATTAGGAGTAAGATCCATTCAAACTAGTGGGACTTAATATGGATGATGTGTGATGGTTCAAATTACACAGGCATCTTAGTTTCTGTTTTCTGTGACAGCATAAAGAGGTTATTTTTCAAATTGCAAGCAGGTTCACACTAAACTATCAGTATATTTTTCGATAATGTCAGTGTTTATACTGTACTACTTGTGCTAGTGCTGTAGTTGTCATCTAGACATCTCTGTACAGTTGCAGCCAACACAAAGAGCAGGATATTAGTTTATTGAATATAGGCTTTTTCTGTGAATCTACTGTTTGGAGGACGAACCTTGAGAAAGGAACTATTCAAACAGATTTTCAACTTCCACTTAATTGTACATTTTAAGTGTGTGTGTGTGTGCTGGCAATCTTAAAAGTTATTGTTTTGGTAGAATATTTAATTATTGACATAGATTGCTATGTGAACTTCAGTAACCTTCTAAAACCTACCAGATAGCTAAGTCATAGAAAATGAATAGTGACCATTACAAATGGAATTGTGTCTAATGATTTTATTGTTTCAATAACATCAGCATTTCTGACACTTATTGTTTTGGGATGGTAGTAGGAATAATTATGTTATTGATAAATGAATATAATGCTGGCAATGCTAAATAATTGAGTTATAAAATTACTAAAAGCACTTGGTATATTCCATTCCAGTCATTTTGGTGAGCTTCTGACAGTTGAAGCTGACTTGCTCCTTTTAAGAAAAGCTAAGGGAAATGCTCCATTACACCCACCAAAGAGGCCTGACAAGAAAGCGCTATCCAAGGCCATACTATACCTCCCCAAGTCATATATCTGTCAGTATTCTAGTGTAATGTTGTATTACAAAACCTGTGCAAGGGATTTCTTGCCAAAAAAAAAAAAAAGATAGGAAGATCTGAGCTAGGCTATTTTTAGCAGCAAGCCCTGTTATTTTACTGCATCCAATTTATGGATTTCTGGATCATAGAAAAAACTTTCTTTAATTTTTTTGTTCCGTAAGTATAATCATATTGTCATAGTACTTAAATACAATGAAATTGGTTCTGGTGTGTTAATGAATGCATTAACTCATGTCTTTACTTTTGTGTTAAGTTTTCAATCCTGTTTTCTGTATATCATTCCTTGTTTAAAAATTGTTTTTAAAGTATTCTGAATAAATAGAGAGTTGAACTAGAAGACCTCAATTGATTGATTCATTGAATGTCAAAGCGTTTGAGTATATTTCATGTTTCTCTGGAAATCAATTGGGAGGTTTTCATTGAAATAGTCTGTCCTTTCCTTCCTAACCTTGGAAACAAATGCAATCATATTTTGCATATTTTACATATATTTTGACTTTTGACATCATATTCCACTTTATATATACACAAGGGAAAGAAATTTCCCACCTGAACTGATCACATATTAATACTGTTTTTTATTCCACCCATACTTTTTCAATAACAGCCAACAATATTTGCAATAGTAGTTTCTTGCCTTAACTTCTTCAGGTCTTCTGTAGGTTCTTACTGGCATTACTAGCTCAGATACATAAATGGCATTTACCTCTACTGTCTTCAGCAATGGGTGGTAGTTAGGTTCTCTTTTCTATTTAAAAAAAACTT